GGGCCCGCGGGGGGGCTCCGGCGCCCGCGGCAGGGGCCACCGAGGCGCTGGGAGGCGGCGGCGCCCGGAGCTGCGGAGGGGTTCGCCGCGGGGGGGCCCTGCCCGTGCTCATCCTCGCTGCTTTCCTCAGGTGTCGGGGCCGGTGCTGGCAGCGCTCGGGCCTTCGGGCCCAGAACGGCTCCGGTAAAAGAGTAAAGAAGAGGAGGACCGAGAAAGATAGCCTTTGGAAGCTGTGTGAAGCCTAGGAGGGGGACGCTGCAGGGAATCCCTAAAGAGGAGACGAAGAAGAGAATAGTGACAATAAGGGAGAGGAAGGACTGAGAGGCAGAGCTGGAGCTGGTGAAGAAGAGAGGAGATTTGTTTCAGGCATTGCCAGGGGAGGACCTTGACAGGACCGAGCAGAGCCTGGGTATTGCAGGGGGGCGGGGCGGCTCTCCGGCACGAAGAGCAAACGTGCTGTGCGAGAGTAAGTCACAAAGCTGCCGTTTGCCTTCTGCGAGCCTTGTTCCAGCGCATGTTGGGCTGCAGGGCTTGCTGCTGCCACTGCTGGTCTCTCGATAACCTTCCTCTCGGCCAGCAGGACCTGCTGCCTGAGAGAGGTTTGGTGGCGGCTCTGTCCTTCGTGACTAGGTGGCATCTCTGCAGGAGCCCCGCTCAGATCCAGATGCTGACTCACTGCTGCGTTGCTGTGCTCCTGAGCATGTTTTCCCAGAGAAAATAAAACCTTTCTTCCTTCCAGACCCCCATCTTGTCTCTTACAGTGCCATGCCGTATTTATGATGTCCAAAATGTTTCAAAAATTGGGGTTTGGTTTGGGTCTTTTTATGTAGCCATGTTGCTGTTTTGCTTTGATTACATTTGTTTGTAAAATTAGGGGTTTGTTTTTATTTTGCTCTCAGCATCCAAACAGCTGCAGACTGTAAAACACGCAGCGGACATTCCCCTGCGTTTTCTCGCCCTGCCTGTGCATTGCTGCTGTGTAGGCAGGCAGGGTGCCTGCAGAGACCAGCCGCTGGCACCCGTAGGGGCGCGGGATTTGGAATTCATGGATGCTCACTTACTGCAGGCTGGGTGCTGTCCCAGGCACTTACACATAGTTCTTTCAATAACTTGATAAATAAAAATTACATCATGGCAAATACGGTTACATGGCAAAGGCCCTTCTCGTTACTGACTGCGGAGTGCTTGTCTCGCTTAAAATTGGTGATGGTCAGCAGAGCACGCAAAGCCAATGTCACAGAGAGAGGCACAGCTCTGCTGATGCAGATTTGACATGTCTTTGCACTAAGGCAAAGGCCGTTCAATCCATTTTAACGAGTCTCTGATCCTTTATCTTTTGACTGCTGATAACGATTCTTTCCCTGTTCAACTGTCTGTCCTTCAGCCCTTATGTCTTCATGTATTTTCTGGGGTGAAATTTTAATGATTTTCCATTATCCACATGACTAATAAAAGGTATCTAGCTGTAACAGAGAAAGGTAAGACATGACAAGGGGACGCACAAGTCCTCAGCAAAGAGTTGAACACATTCAGCAAAGTTATGGATATCTTGCTGCAGCCACCTTTGTCCTTCTGGTTTCTCGTCTTTAAATTTCCTCCTTTTGTTTCTCTCTGTGATGGCTGACCCTTCCTTATGGCTCTTGATTGCTTTCCTGCATTTCTAAACTGTAGCTCCTGAGAATGAACTTCCCTTCTTGCTTAATCTGAATTTTTGCTCTTGCCTCCCCTCCTGGGGGAGCTCAGTCTGAGGGGCATTTCAGTAGTCTGAACTCGTTAAAAAGGCGGCAAGGTGGGGTGGCAGGGAAGGAGCCCTGAAACTCTTAGGGTTTGATTCTAACGCACAGAATGAGTTTGTAGCCACCTTCCACTGTGTCTCTTCGCTGGTTCCAGCAGCGTGGTATGACAGCAGGACAGCGAAACAGGGGACACCTTCGCCTCCTTGTTTCTGGAGTGAAAGGAAGGGTAGTTGCTTGGATGCATTTAGACTGAAGTTATATTTTGCTTTTACACAAGGGATTTATCTACATAAAGCTCCATTTGTTTTTTGGCGGAGATCTCCACGCGTGAGGAACATCTCTGGCTGTATCCTGTGGCTACATGCTTTTCGGTACAGTTTGAGACCAATTTGTAGACGCTGAGCTGGCAGAGAACCATCTTTTTTGTGTACAACACGGGAGCTTCACTGAGCGCTACATTAACTGCATTAGGTAGCTGTGCCATTTACTGGTGAAGGCACTGGTGAACTGCTGAAGTATTGACTCTTGTATTGTTTTTAAAATTGCTTATTAAAACAATGTTTAAAAAAGTCATGGCAAAGTGAAACTTCCAGTGCAGGCTTCGTAGCGTGTATCTCAATTTGGACTTTGGGCAGCTGTAGCTCCTGCCTGGGCCCACCCCCTTCGCCCTGCAGCACGGGTCATGGCTCTTTAGGTTCCCCGTGCACTCCGAGGCTTCTTGCCCAGCCAGTTCAAGTCTCCCCCTTTTGGGCTCACTGTTGCTCTTCTGCTCTTCTCTCATCTTACCCTGGTCTTATCCCCAAGCCAGGTTCAGTCCCGCCTGCATCAGCTCCCTTCGTGAGTCCTTGTTCACCAGCAGCCCCACCTCGGACTCTTCTGCGTTGCCAGTTTGTGCCCCCTGCTCTCAGGCAGCCTCAGATGAACCCTTTTCCTCCTTGATTTTATCGCTCTGCTGGTCCCTGTCCCTCTCTTCCCAACATCCCAACTGGTACCCATCTAATTACCAGCTGGTCTCCCCATTTCTTGTCCAGCCTTAGCTTTCTGCCCTTCCCACAAAATCCGGCAGCACGGTCCCTTTTTCCCCCCTGCTGCTTCACTCCTCTTCCAGAATTGACTCCGGTTTCTGTTACCCCTTCACCCACCTCCAGGTCTCATTTCACGAGGCCTCTTACTGCCATCCACTCTTCCCTTTTCCTGGTTCAAGTTCTCTTCCCGTTACACTTGAATCAGCTGGCGCCTTTACGTGCAGCCCAGTTGCATTAACAGAAAACCATTCTCCAGCTCTCAGTCCTGTAGTGACCCCAACAACCGTTCTGGGGAAGGTCTGGCTGCCCTGTGAGCCCGGGATGGAGCAGGCAATCTGCCTGGAGACACACAGCCTGGGGGAAGCTCCCAAGTGCCCGGGCGGGCAGACAGCACACCCCGGCACGTGGCTGGGGCAGCAGCGATCGGCTCTGGTTTGTAGTCAGAGGGATTTTTTGAGGTTAGGTTCTTTTAGCTTTGCAGGCAGTTATTAGAGTGTTGGAAATTGATTTGGCTTTATTTTACTAAAAATCTGACTGTAAGCTATGAGGTGTTTAAGCAGAATCTTTTCTGACTAAAACAGAGAAAGTGTTCCTGTGCGACTTTGCTTCGGCCTAGAAAGCAAATGAATCAAGTGTTTTGTTAACTTGAGACAACCCTTAAAGCTGAGAAGCAAAGTTTAGCTTACGCATCCTGATTCCAGGGTCTGCCTGGGGTGCCCGTGACATCCCGGGAAGCGGCTGGGACGGGCTGTGTGACGTGCCAGAGGAGGCTCTGCTGTACTCGGGAGTCATCAAGTCCCTTGCAAAGAGTTACCTGTATTGTGAACTGCACTGGGGTCTTGTTTATTCTCACCTGCCCTGGAAGGGGAAAGCAGCTGTGTTGCTCTCAGGATTAGGAGTTTTTCACATTTCTAGCCCAGCTTTATTCTAGAACATTTTACAGTTGCTTATTATATTGTGCCAGAATTGACTTTGAGTTTAAATAGTTTGGGTTTTGTCCCTGGTGCTTGATCTCTTGATACAGTTACAGCTTTTTTAGGTCCTATCCTAGAGTGGACCCTGCGTTTTCCTGACCACTCAATAGCCTTTCTCTGTATGTGTTCCAGCTTGACTTAATTTATCTTGCACAGGGATGACCGAGACAATCAACCCGTCTCAGAGACACAGCAGTGCTTTTGCGGCTCGTGTTAACACTTCCACCGTGGAGGTGTGCTGGAATCTGCCCGTTTGATCAAGCCAGAGAAGGGCTTAAACAAAGACAATTGCTGAGACAGTCATTTTTTTCTTTTTTCTTTTTTTTCCCCCCACTTATTAGAGCACAGTTCTGTAGTCCAGGCTCCCCAGCAAACGCATACTCCAGGAGCCCTCTGCCTTTATTTACGCTGATCATTTGTGTCACTGAGACGGGGCTATAGTCAAAACTAAAGATGCCACTCTTCTTCCGTAAGAAGAAACCCAGCGATGATGCTCGGAAGCGCCTTGAATACCAAATGTGCCTGGTAAGCAACGCCGAGGTCTTTTCTGTTCTCTGTGTCTGGTCCTGGATGCCAGGTGAATCGGTACGTCCCCTGTGTTACAGTGATCATGTTACTGATCTCACCGAGACAGCAGGTCATCTTCCTAATGTACGTCAGAGAATTCCTGCTTTCCCCATCTCCCTTTGCCCTCCCATCCACAGGTCCCCTTCGTGCCACTTCCATCCTTCGCTGCCACTGTGGTTCCACGTAACGTCCTCCCCCCGCCTGCCAGCCCACATCTGGGACCCCATCCCTCCTCTCTCCTCCATGCTCCTTCACTCCTACAGATCTCCCAGTTCACTTTTCCTACCAAGGAACCTGTGACATCCCCTTTCCCGTCATAATTGGCTTTCCTTGTGCCCCTCTTTCGCTTCTCATTATTATTTCGTTCTTCCTGTCCTTCAGAGGATTAACTTGTTAGATGCTGGTCTTTGTTTTCCTGGACTAGGATTTGGCCAGGATCCTCTGGGGTAGATCCTCAGCAGGTTGCTGTCATGCCAGCGAGGTCGGCAGAACTACCTGCCTTACGGCAGCCGCAGTTGGCTTTCTGAAAGCAATCTTCTTTTGAATTATTTCACCTGTTCTGCTGTAGGAGCTGTGGACCAGTGCTGGCGTAGGGGATCGGCTGTGCTCTACCCCAGAGGCGCCTGCATTTCAAAAGTGACAAAATTGTGCCTGTTGGATGTCTAGGAGGTATTTTTGAAAGGAAGGCTTTGTCATGTGCCAATAATGAAACCAGTTCTACTGAATTTGTTCAGTTGGAGGGTTTCTCTTCAGCTCCTGTGGGGCTGGGGAGGGATAGCTTAATATCTCCATTCTAGGATTAGTTCTGTATTGCATGTGCTTAGTTTAGGGTCAGATATCCAGTTCTGAAGACTTAACAGAGGCACTAACACAAGCAGGTTTTATTGCCTCGTGCAGTACATTTACTTAAGAAAATAATTCCAGAGATGTAATGCTGCTCACGGTCAGGTTTGTCCAGTTTCATTGCCGTTAGCAACTGCATTGGATGTAGTTGATCTGAATATGGAAAGCCACTTTTGTACAGAAGCAGTGAGTCCTTGCTCCTTTTTACAAAGCAGAGCTGGCTCTGCAGGTCCCGTGGAAGCAAAAAGGCAATAGGAGGTTATTTTGGTTTCTGCATACAGTTCAGAAGAAGGCCAGTCTGCTGGGTGAGACATGCCAATGACACAGCAGGCTCTTTGCAGGCTAGGACGGCACTGCTCTTGTTCCTAGGAGGTGCCTCTCTTGGGAACCCATCATTTCCTTTCCGTATCCTTTCAGTTAAAATTGCAGAATTAGGATGTGCTTTGGTTCTTCGTGCAGAAATTAATTTCTTGCACCAAAAGGGTTTTTCTGCAGTTTGGTTTCCCAGTTGCTTTTGCTTGCTGCAGCTGTAGCAGCACACCCTTTGCTTCTAGCATCGTCATTGAATTACATAGCTGCGGCAGGGAACTGTAATTGCATTTTCTAGGGAGGGGCCCGTTGAGTAGTTCGGTCAATATGCAGCAAGAGGCCATGTACTTCTGCATGGTCTAATTCTCTGGGTGCGTATCTTCTCTCTCCAGGCAAAAGAAGCTGGTGCTGATGACATTCTTGACATATCCAAATGTGAACTCTCGGAGGTATGTTTCTGCAACTTCCAGTATTAGCTCACAGGTCTGAGTTCTCTGCTCCTTGTTACCAGCTGTCAGATTTAGTGTCATGTCTATGAGCCTTGAGACAGAAATGGTCTTGTTACTGGCCTGCTTCTTGCTATGTCTGCTGAGCTCTGGCTTTCAGGTGAGCTCTTCTGCTGCTTTTTTTGGGTGGGAGATTGCCCGTCCTACCGGATGCTTCCACAACATTTCTGTCCTGGGAATCCTTTTCCATTTGACAAGATGGGAAGGGCAGAGTGGTCTCATACCCTCCACCAGTACCTTGGTAGGACCCTAGTTTGGGACCTCGTGGCCTAATTTTACAAGTTGTAAGGGTATTTGTTCGCCAAAGTCTGACTGTTTCTAATCTTAGAGCTACAAAGTCTGCCGCCTGCGCTTATTTTTCTGGACTAGTGAAAATCCCTGGTTCCAGGCTGCTGGTTAAGGATGGAAATCTCACTTCCAGCTTGGCTTCTCTTATGGCAGCCAACTAAATTAGAAACAAGCTGTCTGCTGGAGTGTGAGTGGTTAGTGACAGATTGCCAGGCTTTCAGAGAAGACACAGCTTTTCATTCTGGCAGCCAGGCAATCCTGTTAAGCAGAAGCCTGTTTCTATTTCACTTTCAGCTTTTATTCATTGTCGTGTACCTGCCTAACCTTTTGTCACAGGATGCCTTTGCCAAACAAGCTAATAGATATTGCACTGCTCTTTCGGGAGAGATTTGGGACCATCCTGGAGAGCACAGCTGTCTGCTGTGCAGTATGAAATGGCTTTTCTGAGGCTTTGGGATGTTTTGTTCCAAGAACAGAAGCCAACAGCATCTTGTGTGTAGGTTTGCGAGCTGTGTGGGACAGTCTGCGAGCCAGTCTGGGTAAAAGGGTGGCAGACAGAAGATGCACATTAAGCCAGCTCCATTCATAGCTGCAGCTGGTCTCGGATCCCCAGCAGCTCCTTTTGGATTGGTACCATAAAACTCTGTCTTGCTTGTCTTCTTTTTAGCCTTTGTAGTCTCAATAAATAAAGTGAGCCATCAGTTTGGTCTTAAAATTAACTCCGGACAACAGTTTGGCCGATGCCAGTTCCATGCTGCAGAGCAGGTTGTGGTGCTCCGAGCCTTGGCTGGCCTGGGCTGGATTTGGGGGAATATCCCTTTTCTGACGGCCCCTCTCCTGCAGAGCCTAGCATGTATGAGGCCACTCAGCCCCGCCTGCTGCTCACCTTCCTCACTTAGCCCACTGCAGCGTGTCTGCCGAGGCTGCAAAACCATAGGATACATTTGTATGATGACTAACTGAAAATATGCCTGAACTCTTGAGTCATCTGCACACTGAATATTAAATCACGCAAGGCTTGGACTTCTGCCTGAACCTCAGTCTGCTCTGTGCTATGCACGGCACTGTCGTATTGCGGAGAGCCATTGCAAGCTGTTTAAATGGAAGCTGACTGGGAAGTACTGGCATCCTGGGCCAAAACCAGGGGCCAGGAATTTTAAGTATCATCCCTTGCATTTTCATTAAAGTTAATTATTCCCACTTTACAGGTGGATACTGTAGAAGTGCTTACAAAGATAGTATCTTGATAAGTCTGACACGACTATTTTTTAATTGTTTTTTAGGTTCCTTATGGGGCCTTTGCAACTTGTAAAGTCTTGCAAAAAAAGGTAATGTTGCAATCAGAAATTATTAGATGATTCTATTATTATGCTTGAGTATTATTGTTGTGTTTGAAATGACTGTATGTGCTTGCTTATATGTTGCTTCAGAAGAAGTTTGCTTGTAATGAATTTGGCCAGTTGTACGATACTACATAGAGAGCAATTTGGGTAGGACTAATCCTGTCTGTGTGCTTTAGAGCTAACTTCTGTCATGAAAGATGAGGTGATCGTTTCTATCTTAGCCTATCTAATGATATTTCTCATGTAAGAAACTAGGCTCTTGTTTAGATCTCATGTTAAATGTTTGACCTTCTGTGAAAATCCATTTATTATTTTAATATTTTATATGATACTGAATAAGATTAAGCTCTTATACAGCCTCTGCAATTAAATCTCAACAAATGTGCTTGTTCTAGACAGCAGCATCTCTTGTGTTCATATTTCAATGGGATTTTTCCTTCTCAGGTGCTGATTATTCATACGAATAATCTGACATCTTTAGTTCCAAAGTCCTGCAGCCTCCTGAGTCTCATAACTGTGAAGGTAATTGTGATTTTTAGCAGTTAATTTGCAGCCTATTTTCCTTGCATTCTAGCTGCATTAGAACACACTAGCCTGAATAAATCCCTTCTGTCTGACTGTCTTCACCAAGAACGGGTAACAAGGTGTGAAACCTGCCTTTCCTAGGTTTACCTCCCAGGTAGATAGCAGTCACTGACTGGTTTGTATAAAATCATAATCAGTCCCAGAACTCATTTATCCTCTTCATAATCTCACCCTTTCCCCCTCAGCAGCCTCTCACAGTGGTGGTCAGTCAGGGCTGAGCGTGTTATGGGGTAGATCCATCTCTCCTCTGCACTGGTGGGACATGTGAATGAAACTGGTGACGGGTGACCGGGCGCGATGGGGCTGTATTGCCCTACCTGTCATATAAACGCTGAGGGCTTTCAGCCCCACCACCCTCGTGCTGTGGTTCCACAAGAGGCAGAGTCACTCCAGCAGCTCATCTCTCCCCGTGGAGGAAGGTCTCCAGGCATAGTCCTGCCCTCTCCCTCTGCCAGCCCTGGTGTTCAGCTCACTGATCCTGAAGAAACTGTCTTTTTCTGCCAGGCTGGCTCCATGCAGATGATTTATCCAGTTGGCTCATCCAGTTTTGTGGAACAGCTCCTTGGTGTCGCTCCTCTCCCTAGTCTTTTGTTAGTTTATCGATGTGTAGAGGCTTGAGTTTTTAAAAGACCTACAAGAATTAAGTGCCTATGTCTCCTTGAAAACTTAAACCGCTTTTCAAAGCCCCATTGGAAGGGAAGTAATTTTCATTGCTAGATAATTCATGACCTTTCATTCTTGCACCATGACTTCTTTTCCCAACCTTGTTTGGTGAAATCATCCACTCTTCCAGGTTCTAGACCTGCACAACAACCAGC